AACACCAAGATTATCAGCAGGCTAGAAGGCGATGCAACTTCAGCTGCGACAAATACGGAAAGGTTTGGGTCCCACACAACTGTTTTTGCTATTTGCTGGCTCTCAATTTCCACAGTGAATTAAGGGATTTTGCATAATCCGTAAAGCGAATCTAGGAAGAAAGAAAATTTTTAGCAAATACGTGTTCCGAAAAAAACTAACGATACAAGCGTGAAGGAGTTTGAACTATCACGCGAATCGGTAATCAGCTCGCGTCCTTCTCGAAGTGTACTTAACCTTAAACAATAAGGAATTGAGAAACTTCAACAATAAGGGAATGAAAATCTTTCCGTAGACGGGAAATGGATGCTAATGCGATAGTAATGCTGAAACATGAGAAATCGAGACAATCAAAAGAACTGCACCGCACAACAGGGATGCTGGTGAGACCACATGTTTTTGCATAATTTATTTTGCAGGATGGTTGTGACTATAATTTGTAGCTTGATGTGCCTGTACGCAGGCCCTATGCTCGCCAAAATCTTACGCTTAGTAGTCAGTACACGAACAGCAAACATACTCAGGAAAATACTGCTTCTTGCTCAGTCCAGCTAGCGAGTTAACTGAATGTGCCTAAACTCTCACCTGCGCAAATGCAAAAGCTAAGCATTTTTTAAAGCTGAGTTTGAAATGTTAAGTCCGTACATGGGCATAGAATATCCTCGTAAAATTTTAGCTGTCCTGGCGAAATCGCTTTCATTACAGATATCTCTGACGCGTCCAAATATGCCACACGAGGTACGCCCAGTTTTAATTGCGCTTGCCCCAGTGTAGGCAGCAAATGTTCGCGCAAAATCAGAACACTCAAATTAATCTAATTCCCTAGTTGGCATTTTGCCAAGAGCGTCTGAATTTTAGTTTTTTTAAACACATGAGCAAAGAATATCTACCTAAAGCTCTTATCCGTTCTGATTCCCGGAATTATTTTCCCCCGCAAAATTTGCATTTTTTAAGAAGTCCTTACGTGAGACCAGGTGTATGTAAGCATTAATTTTATGTTGTCTGGGTTGAGCATGAGCTAGAAAACTCATCCTTGTGAAATTCCAGCTCACTTGCTCCTGCAGTTGCTAAGTTGAATGTGGGTGACAAAAACCGGAACATATACACACACATACACATACACACACACACACAAACACACATATACACACAAACGCACATGCACACACACACACACACACACACACCACACACGTACACGCACCACATACACAAACACAAACACACATACACATACACACACCAACAACTTCTTTACAATGCGCATTTTTTAAAGCGCAGAAACGCATATCATTAAGACGTTGTTGGACTGTGTGTGTATGTGTGTGTGTGTTCCGATTTTATAAAAATTAAAAAAAGTATAAAAACAATTTCTGTCAGTATTTACTGGAATAAAATTTAAACGGTTTTTTTTAGTAATTATGCATAAAAGTATAATTTCAGCTAGTCAAAGCAGATAGCACAGTACAAATGGAGCATTGTTGGT